GGGGGGTGGGAGGGACGAGCGAGTTAGCTTCCGGGCAGACCAGCCGGGGAGCCACCTCGCTCGTGACAGGGGGTTTTAGTTGGGTTCAAATCCCACACTACCTGGGTCGGATCGGTGATGGGCCGGTCGACTTCTGGTGCCTATCCCTGTAGTGGCGACGCTAACTGGCCTTGAAACGGTACGTGAAAGCGGAAGAAATGATGAAATTCCGGAAAAGTGTGGGCAGGGGTCTCCTCCCTGCTAAGAATAAGAGCAAAAACGAAAGAAAAAAAAGTGTAAGAAACATGCAATGGAAGGTACTATGGTGGTATTCTTGGAATTGAAAGAACACAATTGTTGTTGCAACATGACAAGATCCACCACAGTCAGAGAGCGTAGTAATGTGCATGTGACTTCGAACTAGGCATACTGGTGGTAGATTCGAATGTTTGTTTCACTGGGAAGGCATGATATAAGTGTGTGTGTTCAAGTCCTATTGAGCTATGTGGTTGTCAGCACATGCTCTATTATTTGTTGCTAGTTGTTTCGGGTTAATACGGTTGGTTTCGATGCCACAGCCAGCCAGGATTGATGGTGCGGGAACGCAGTAGGTGGCGGCGGTACGCGCGCACCTGTCTGTGCAGAAACAAATGCTTGTAGAGCGGAAACGGTGGTAGACCACGATCGACGGTTAGGTGGGTATGGGGCAAGATTGACTCAACACTATCTCCTTCCATGCTACCTAGGGTTATGTGATGTATTGGACAGAGGGACTGGCGCGTCGCGGGTAAAGCTGGGCGCTTCCGCTGCCAAATTTGTGCACAAATCAGTCGCTAGGTACACGGTGTCACCGAGTGGCCAAGGAGAACTAAACAGTCACGCACTTGTAGCACACCAACCAACGGGGAGGTTGGAAAAGCTTCGATACTATAATGAATTTTCGTTATGTTGCAGGAGGTGACTACGAAGGCTCCCGCTCGCTGAATAGACCTCCTTTCCCGTACATTCATTGGTCAGCCGGTTCGTGCGGCCGACGCTGACCAAAAATATTACAGAAACACACACGTACCCTTCCATCCGGTCTGCCGTGCTTCCCAGCACGAAAACGGAAGAGGGTGTTCACCTACAGCTACCTACCCAACACTATGCTTCGAAAAAGAAACCATCCACACACACGACAACCGGGTATGGATGCATAAAACATACCATTCCATCAGAAGTCAACTGAAAACTAAAAGAAAATATACACCGCACTAAAAAAGTGAAGTAAAGGAAGTGACAGCTTACACAAATTCTTGGTTCGACACCAGCATCAATGTACGTGTTCAGCGGCACCAAGCACGCTAAACTACCCAAGGTCTTCCATCGATGAAAACTGCAAATGGAGTGATGTTCTCAGCGACAACCAGGGGTACCATCAAGCGAACGCGATTCGCAGTAGTAAATTCTGCGGTAAGAAAAGAGAGGAGCTTGAATCGCCTGCCGACCTACTCCCAATTCCAACAAGCACCGCCCGGTACAAGGGAAGGTCGCGTTTGCAACAGGTTGGACCTGGCACAAACACGTACGACCATGTGAAACGGTCACCCGCCCGGATCGAATTCCATTTATTTCTTACACAAGAAACACACGTCTCGTCTATCGCTAGAGTTGTGTAAAAGGCTTGAGAAGGGATCAATTACTGCATTAGCCAGGCAAAATTCACCACGAGAACCTTTGGTCTCTCACCGAGAGAGACTTCTGTTGCTGATGCCTGGTCCACACCGTGCTCGAGCTACCGTCAAACCTACCTGGCGTAGGACAAGCCTCCCGCCTACTACAACATAACATTCCAAAACTTTTGTCCTACGCGCTGGTTTGAACGCACACAAACGACGTGCAGTTTTGGCACCATCGCTACAATAAATACTCATTGTTCGTCACGTGGAAAGGTGCCACCGCCACCCGCTTGCAATCGTTAAAATCCACACCGTTTCCAAACATCGCCCTAAGGCGCCTAGTCTACATCCAAGACCTGTTGTTTAGGGCAGCAGTCGCTCCTCTGTGAGGACACCCAACAGAGATATACAGGTTTTAGGATCGGCCCAGTTCCAAGTCCTTTTACTCTTGAAAAAAATAAAACCCTCTCAGCTACAGCTGCAGGTGGCGCGTTCTGCATCGCGAACGAAAACCACAGACGACCTCGGTGGTACAAGGGCTCATACCATATCGCAACACACCGGACACTGATTTGTAGGGGAAAAATTATATAATTGACCTTCAACGTGCTACGCGGGCCGAGACCCCATCGCCGTGCAGAACAGCTTCTTCTCCCGCCAAACGCAACCCTTTATTGAGCCAATTGATTGAGCCCATAATTATTCCGAAAAACAATTTGCATCCCATTCCGTCAAGCCTGGGGGAGGAATAGTAAACAAAACACACCTTACTGATCCCGTTCTCTTCCACCATGTACATGCTAGTCTGACGTTTCCACGCAACGACTCCTGTACAGACATCAACCAACGGTGGCAACCTCCGCTGTCGGAAATCGTGTCGGAAAGCGTCCTCCCGGCAGGCGGTGGTATGTCGCCGCAAAACGCTTGCAGTACGACAGAATAAACCAGAGACCCACGTGCGGGTAGGTTGACGTGGCAAGACGACTTCTTCGTCGAAACACGCGCCCATGGCAAGTACCAACCGCACCAAAAAAGTGTTTCAACGCGCACGCGACATCCCATGAGGGAAGGTGTACCAACCCGTGCGGTCGCAGTCAATACCCTCGACTTGTGCAAGAAGCCGCCGGGTTTCAAATGCCCCATGGGTACAGTAGTGGCCCCTGTGTATGGGACCGCCAAAATAAGAACGGACGCCCTGTATAAGGCGGGTGAAATCGCGCAACACGGACGAAATATTCAACCTGTCTTCAATACTCCGAATAACGCACCGGGTGCCCGGCATTACAAGGTCGGCTAGACCCCTGTGCCGCCTTCTGCAGACCACCACCAATGCCGTTATCCTCAACTCCCCGTTTTTCAAGTCCCCTGTGCAGTCCCAACCACACGTTCCGTGCTTAGGGAGGGCCTTCTGGCGCGTTACGTGAGCTTCAACGTTCCCACGGGAACCAGCGCCGCCGTTGAGGCTCTTGTGTGTGTGGCATGGGCATGAAGCCTTCTCCTCATCATTTCGCTGAGGAGGCTTTTCAAACTCCCAAACCCATGAGCCATGTCTTGGCGCCCTCGTATACGCCGAAGAACACGAACCCGCCGATGCCTATCCAGGTAACCTGCGACGCCCCGAATGTTGGGGGGGGGGGGG